ACGCTGGTGGGGCAAGTTCAGTCTTAGCAGGTCCTTAGATGGAGAAAAGTTCAGCGTACCCGCAGGGAAGATGTAGAGCTCCTCGCCCCGGAAGCTCGTTGAAGACGGAGATGGGCGCCTGGAAGTTCTTAGCGATGACTTCCTTCGGGGTGTGTGCCAGCCAGTCGGTGATGAGGAACGTGCCGTCCTCGTCGAAGGTGCCATTGTCAAAGACCTGGGGCACGCTTGCTCAGCATCTGTACGAAGGTATCTTGAAGGCACAGTCTACCAGAAGGAATTCAGTCCCGTCCTCGGTCGCATTCGTGGCCTGAAGGGAGTGAGGGACACCGGCGGGGAAGAACCACAGATCGCCCTGGTTCTGATGGCAAAAATCGCATCAGGAATCACTCCAGAAATACCGTCACTACAGTACGTACTGCAGTTCTGACAAAGTTTTGGCCGAGCTGGTTGACGGCTGTCACTTGCACGGAGCCCTGAAATGTCGAGTTGAGAGGCCTGCTCGGAGCTCCTCTCGAACGGCGTAAATTTACTGCACTCACCTTGGTCACATACGCCCACTCAGACGCGGTGTGCCAGTGGAGTTCGCTTGACGAGACAATGTCAGACAAAATGGACCATACGATTAAACGGCGGCTTACCGAATGGCGCCAGCCTCGAGGTGCAGGTCAACTCCTGCCAACTCGGTGGCGGCAGGCAGCTGATTGACTAATGCAGCCAGATGCTCAGTCATGACTCAGTGTTTACGCATGACCAGAGTACTCACTGTTCTGCTGACGAGCCCATCCACCAGTTTGGAGGCGGTTGTGGCTCATGCCGAATGGCCACTTGGCGTTGGGCCTACGGTGCACATTTCAATCAATACATTTCAGAGCAGGATAAGCAAGGGGGACACGAACACTTCGCCATTGTCAGTCGTAGGCGGCGCAAGAAAGTCCGGGTTCTCCAGGTCAAGGGGCACGTTCTGACTCAACGCGACGCGCGATGCTGCAAGCGCGCTCGGATGACCATGTGATTTGCATGTGATCATGAAGAAGAGGCCACGTGTACCAGACGCTCAATATATACACCCGTCCACCGCCGCAAAATCTCCTTGATCGGCCACTTTGCAAACCACACCGCTGTGATTTCAGTCATGGAACCCCTCGCTCGTCTCGCAATCACCCGCTCAGACGGGCATGAACGTCAATGGCGCGGCAACATCCGGGCGGACCTGAGTTGGACCTGAGCGTACGTAGGCAGTACTTACGTGCACGGCGAGCAGCATGGCAGGCGTCGACCTTCTACGACGAGCTCACTGGGAATTATCTATCTGTCCACTTGTCATCGTGCCACTGAGTCACAGGCTCTGCCTACTGTGCGTCCTCTGGCTGTCCTTGCATGCAATACATCTCATCCTCTGCCGCAGATCGCGCGCGACCTACGTCAAAGGCCCCAACCGCCTCTCGGCGTCCATGTGCTCAGCGTCACGAATTAGACGCACGCCTCCCAGCTACGATACAGTGCTACGCTTTCGTGTATCGTCCTGGTAAGTCTCGCTACTCCTCGACTACTGCCACCTCTCACTACGGCCTCGGGCTGGCTTGCAGATCTGCATATACCAGCACTCGGTGATCACAGTGGCTGCATTAGCGATGCATCATTCGGCTGCTTGACTTTACTAGTCGACCTTGATCTCCAAGACTCAAACTCGCGTCCCTCTCGATCTGCGCTCTCGCTATGGACCGCGGCCGCCAGACGACAGGCCAGGGATGTCAACATCGATAGGACAGAGCGCCCAATGCACGGAACGCGGAAGCGTGAGAAGCTGGCTCTCACTCGGACGAGTCGCGGCATCTTGCAGTTTAATTGGCCTAAATTCCGCGTCATTCTGCCTTCAGAACGCAGCAAGCATGGTGTAGCCTGGGTGGCGTGGTGAGCGTTATCGGAAGATTACCATTGGTGCGTTCCGAAACTCGCTACTCGATCGTGGCGGAAGCTCATTGTGCGTTACAACGTCTTCGGCTGGGCTGCTCCTCGGGACAGCAGGCCTGAAATTCACGGCAATTGAGAATGAAAGCGCAGGTACGGAATGCATGGTGCGCTCTACGCTCTGGAAGGCTTCGAAGCATGCGCTAAATACAAAATTTGTAGAAGTTTATGTCCTGAATAGTGGCGGAGAGGTCGACTTAGGCCTCGGCAATAACCTGGCTGTAGAATTCCCAACTTCATAGTGTCGCTATCACTCGGCGGTGTCATTTCATGTCAGTGCTTGTTTTGAAAAAAGATGTGCGTCCTCAGACCACTCTCGTCTGAGGTTATTGCTGATGTGACTTGTTTCGTAAGTGCGTTACGATTAGCTTGGGAAGGCCGTCCAAGTGAGTTTCATTCGCAGCATCTGTCATTCCCACCCTCATCTGCGCATCGTAGATTGTCCATAAAGTAACGAATGTCAGTATGTGATCGTCTCTGGTCACCATCTGAACGTGCTAACATCGTGTTCAAGCTTGGTGGAACTGTTGGCGACCTCGAATCCGCCTCACTCATCGAAGCCATGCGGCGGCTCCAGTCCCGCTTCAGCTACGAGGACTTTACCGGCCTTTGTACTCAGGACATGACCCGCTAACCTGCTTCGAGCATGCGTTCATGGTTACCGGAGCGTCGTACACGGCCC